CTTTATAGAAAGCCAGAGTTGGAATGCCATTAAATTTGAATTCCCTGCTCAGTGCAGGAGTCCCATTTGAAAGCTTCCAGACAAATGGCTGTTGAGCTGCCATTTGAACATATTAAGCAAAGGGGACCCTATAACTTCTTTGGTAAGGTAATCCTACTGTTGTTTGGCTCTGTTTGCAGACAGTGAATAGCTACAAAACCAAGCTGGCAGTTCTGAATTTCATAGGCATACACTCAGAAGACAGGAACTTGGTTGCCTTCCTTCTTTCATCCAATTAGTAAGGGGAGGAAACATATGATATACTTTGACTTATCTTGGCACAATGGTGCAACTGATGGATGCCTTTGATCTCTCTCAGCATGCCCAAAATCAACACAAACCCTACAAGGCCTAAAAGCTGTTGCTAATCTTGCTTACCCACCTGAAACATTTTTATCCAAATCAAGTTATTTAAGATATTTCACAGAAACTTTCTCATATGTCTCAATTTTCCTGAATTTATGTAATGTCCCAATCTTGTTTTATTTTTGTTTTTCCCCCAGGTCTTTTCTTTACAACAATAATAAAGTATTTATTATATATTTTTAGATTATTATTATTGTTGTTGTTGTTATATTTACTTACTTTACTTTTATACTTTATTATTACTCTCTGCAGACTTTATATTACTGTAATATTTTATTACAGTACTATGTTATACTTTATTTTATTACAGTACTTTATTATACTTTATTATACATTATTTTTTACTATCCAGATATTCACTTTATATTACTATTGCAATGCTTATGTTAATCATTTCTCAGTTGTCGGGAAAAGGGTATTATAGTACTTAGACTTATATTTACTCATATATGTGAGTGTGTATGTGACAGAGAGAAAGTTGTGCATGTTTGTGTGTTTTGAGGCAGCCCTCAGTTTATGACCATAATTGGGAGCAAAATTTCTTTGTTTAGCATGGCAGTTAATTAATGAGTTGCACTTGATTTTATGATGTTTGTCACAGTTGTTAAGTGAATCCACTGCAGTTGTTAGATGAATCACACAATCATTAAACAAATCTGGCTTTCCACATTGATTTTGCTTGCCAGCTGGGAAAATGACAAATGGCAATCGTGTGACTTCCAGGATTCTGCAACTGTTGTAAACATATACCGGTTGCCAAGAATTTGAATTTTGATCACATGATTGAGAGGATACTGTGAAGCCGTAAATGCAAGGACCAGGTGTAAGTCATCATTTTTCAGGGCTGTTATAACTTCAAATTGTCGCTGAATGAATGGTTGTAGTCAAAGACATCCTGTATACGTGCAGGGCTCTAGGCTGGATTATAGATTTATTGTATAATCCACACAGACTGTCATTTGAAGAAGACTATTGTTCATCTTAGTTTAACTCTTTTTTTTTTTTTTGTCTTTTGGGGTTTCTTAGATGCCACCAAGCTTTTCTTTTTTCTATATTATTATAAGTACTATATTTCCCCATCTTCCTTTTGCATCTCTCCCTCAAAATTACTAAGAGCCTATGTGCATTTAAAAAATGATAGCATCTTTTAAGTTGACCTTAATGTTATTCTATAGGTACACTGTGTTTTTTTCTTAATAATTATATGAAGTGGTTTCCCAGTGCCTTCTTCTATTTTGTTTTGTTTTTATTTTTTCAGTCTAGCCCACAGTTTTGATATTTCCTATTATTCTTCTACCCAAGAACTCACTGATTCTGACATTGCTTTATTTTGAAGATTAGAAAAGTTCATCCTGATGCCATTGCCTCTTGAGTTTGAATTCCTATCTACTCTTGCTGAAGTATAGTACTGTCCTACTAATGGATCATCTCTCTATTTTGCTCAGAGAACAACTAAAATAGGATTCTTCCAAATATTTTAGAGTCTTACAATCCTTGATCATCAAGTATGTTGGCTGGATTTTGTGGCAGTTAAAATTTTTAAAAATATGAAAGGTACTATCTGTCCTCAAAACTAGGACATTATAGTTTCCAATACACTGAAGGATATCTATATTTGTAATATTTCTCACCTGTATTCTGTATCTGTATTATCAACCTATCTTCCCCTTCTTTCCCTCCACCATCCCAATTAAAATCCTTCATGAGTTTAGCCACTCATGCATTTAATGAAGCAAATTGCAACTCATGAAAGCTATGGTTTTTAATAGTGTGTTAGTCAACTCCAGGAAAAATTAATATTTTGGACATCTGCTGCCGTTTTCCTTTTTCCTTCTCATAGATGACTGAAATTTTATGCAATGAAAGAATCTGGAAATATTTAAAGCAGAAATTTCAGAAATCATCAAGAAACAGATGGGAAGAAAGGGAGAGACCAATCTGAAAATAACTTTAGGAAAAAGCCAAAAGAATAACAATTTTGAGAATTTGGGAGAGTCTGATTTTAGAATGCAGTAGAGGTGGAACTAATTTTTATAGTTTGATTACTGTAAGTTTAAATGGAGAGATCAATAAAGCTCTAAGAGCTAAAGTTGCATTGCATTTTACTAATTAGATCTGAGGGCAAAATTGAAGGATGGGCTTGGTAGGAAAGGGAAATGGTTTGAAATTTGGGCAGAGTATAATAGATTAGGATCAGAATATGATATAGGTGTAATAAAGACTGCTTAGAAGAATATGGCTAGACAACCACATGGCCAAAGTAGAATTTATATTGACCAGAATGTTCAACTAAGAATAATAACAAATATGTTTTGTGGGATATGGCCGGTGAAAAAAGATTACTTTGGATTGATATTGTCTGAGACAGGATTGTAAAACTGTGAAAAAAATTGATATTCAGAAATAATATTAGTTGAGGTTTTGTGAAGTTTAGAAGCTGAAATTTTACACCAGATGTACTTGGATTAACATTTTCAGTTAGCTCCAAAATTTAGTTCACCAAACTGAGTTTGGATTTTTTTTTTAAACTACAACTGATCTCAGATGATAATTGTGAACTTGAAATGGGGGTTGGAAGGAACCTGGCCATACAAGAAAGACAAGAAGAGGAGGAAGAGGGAGGACTTAATTTGTTGATTTGTAACTTGATTAACGCTTCCTTTCCCCTTCCTTATCCACTTCTATACTGCTTCCACTTCTTTCCTCTTCCACCTACGGATCTGTTGTTTGCAAACCCAACATCCAACCCTATGACTCAGTTTCTTCTGAAGAAGCAGTTGGAGCTAGTCCAAGAATGCAATGAATCACTTCAAAGTGGTTAGCCAATTCTTACCAGTTTCACCTCATTATTGGAATCCCAACTGCAAGATAAGGCTGAAAGTTTTCTGAAAAAGACATCCATCATTACCAAACCATTTGCTTTAAAACCATTTTACTAAGCACTGGTAATTTACCAGAGACTGTGGGAGGTGCAAGCACCTTTGCACTGTTGGAAAAAGAATGGAAGCTACTGTGAGGAACAGCATTAGGAAACTCTGAGGCTCAGAAGGCTGAGAATGAATATTGCAAAGTTGAGGAAAAAAAGATCCGAGAGATTGACAGTTTTAAGACTTGTGGACTTCAACTCCCAGAATTGCTCCTCCAACCATGTTAGCTCAGGAATTCTGGGAGTTTAAGTCCACAAGTCTTAAACTTGCCAAGTTTGAAGACCCCTGGATTAAAGTCTTTTTCTCAGATGGTATACATCTTAAGGGTTGGAAAAATCTGAATTCTATAACTTCTTCTGCTTTAGCTCTCTTTTTTGGCCATGTATATCCCAAAGGATAGGTTACACATGAATTTCTCTATCCTAAAAAACTATGAAAAAAATCAATCCCTTATTATATCACTATTAAGGAATAAAAACAAAATAACATACTTGTCAGTATCAAAATTTTGATTTGCTGGTAATAATAAAAACTAGGGCAGCATGTTTTCTAGTGGTAAAGAAAAACATGCTTTCACTGTATCTCTCCCTCCTTTATTTGATAGACTCTTGATGAATTACCCCTTCTTTTTCATTACATGTATCTTTGTTGTAACATCTATCCTAAGGTAATAAGCAAAATGGAGGGTTATGGAGAATGCCAACCTTGGCTGTCTTGTAGAATCAACATAGCCATGGAACTACTTGCTCACATCCATTGTATGTGAAATCCACTCTGGGATTCCACTTTTAGAATCTTTCTGATTTCATGTTTCATGTCTTTTCCATAAAGAATAAAAGAGTTACTTATAATGTAATTTAAGATATGACAGCTACACTCATTCACTTATCTTAATTTGCATGATTGCTAATGATTTGTTCTTACCTCTTGTATAATCTTTCCAGAAATTAATTAATTTAACCTTTTGGCTTGGATTTTCTACATCCCTTTTCACAGATGACAGATCCAAACTTTCACTGTTGTAGGTCTAACCATCAATTTATCAATCTCTCCCACAACATGCTTTTGCAAGATCCAACTAATTTCTTTGGAACATGCAAAAGAACATCAGGTTTTCTGGGATCTCTGCCCATTTCAGTATTGTGGCCTCAGGTGTCCTATAAACTTAATTGCTTAGAACAGAATCCAGATGTTGAACAGGCTGTAGTCAAAACAATTTTTTGGCAATATACAAGAGCAGGCTAGAAGGAGGATTTTCATCTTCAGATTTTTACTTTAGAACTTGGACTATGTCACTGTCCAGACAATGCTGTAGAAACAGTTTAATGATTGGATAGATGTATTGAGGGTGGGGTTTGGCCCAGAAAGGGTGGCCTTAAAATCCTTTATACTATTAACAGTTCTAATGATCTCTCAAGTTTCCATATTTGGAGAATAAACTTTCATTTATTTATTTTTAAAGCAGGATAATTGCTATCATATTTGGGAACCTTTTCCCTGAACCTTACAATACTTGTTCCCTTCTGCCAGAAACTTCCAACTAGATGGGACTTCTCTGATCATTCTTCAATGTTTTCTGAGTTTTGTCTTAAATCATCTGGTCCCTTGTAGTTTTGAATATTACAAATTCTTTTTTTTTTAATCTAGAACTGGGAAATGGGTAAAGAAGGAACTTGGCTTCTACCAACACACTTTACCTCATTTTTATTAATCTGAAGCAAGGAATTAGCCTGAAACACTACCATAACTTCTATAGCCTCCTCCATTTTTTTTCTTGTTGGGCTTCTGAAGAGGAGCAGTCAGCTAGAAGAGGTGGGGTTTATTTCTGGTATGTTCCCAGTGCAAATTTTGATTTGGGACATTGAAGTGGCAGGTAGGACCCATGATCAGTGATATTGATATTGGCAAAACAAACTTAGGTTTCCTGGAAGAGAACAGATGTTGGTGGCCACCATAACTGTGGTGATTAGTAGGATAGTAAGATGTGACACTGGCAATTATCTAGTTGTGTTGGATCTCAGTAATGCAGAGCCTGAGAAATGGGTATCTTTATTGAGAGTTGTGTTCTCTGAGGAATAATTTGGTGTAGGCTGCATGCTAAAGGTAGGAAAACAGAGTCAAAGTAATGAAATACATTAATAATTGGGAATTCAGTCTACAAGATTCAAGTGGCCTCTAGAGTAGAAGATTGGGAAAAACCATCAGCTGCCTTGGATCTCAAACACGGCGTATTTTCATCTCACTTCTCTTGAGGGAATAGTAAAAGCCTTTCCACTGGAACCAGTTAATGCCATTGGCATAAGACAGATGTGGTCCACCAAGGTAGAAGCCATTGAGGTTGGAAAAATGGCAGCTCTTGAACCACCAGGCACCTGATGACAGAGCTGCACAATTCTGCACATAGAGATCTTGGTCACGGTCAAATGTGGAGAACTTCTGGCCACTGTGATAGGACAGTGAATCACCTGGTGGGAACATCAAGTGAAAAAATGGTAAAAATGAGACTTCATGAAGGTGGTAAGAATAAGGAGTAATGTCCTTGCTGTATATTTGAGAGCAAATTCATAGGAGCCTAAGTATACTGGTCAGAGATAGCTGGCACTAGAATGTTTTCATGCACATCTCATAACTTATGTTTCAAGATTGGACGGAACATACTGTAAAAATCTTTTAAGTGACTTCTAATTTCTCCATAATATATTCTGATCCCATATACCAAGATACAGAAGAAAACAACTGTCTTAGGGAAGAAAATTTCTGGTGTAAACATCTTGTTAACTCACATGTGGGTTTATGTTAATATTTGGATACCTCTGGCCCAGAAGAGTTTTGGGAAATTATAGACCCAATATATCAGAAAGACAGCAAACTGGGGATGACTGATCTATATACTAGGCTTGGGACAAATATCATCCTAGTATTCATGATGATACATAGATCCAAATTTATCCTACCCAAATGTCAAATTGCCAAGTTTGAAACAAGACCATGCTTTCCATCTTTTAAAAAAGATAGCTGCAAATGTGGCACAACTATCATAATGTAAATAGGGTTTCCTACCCTCATTTTGTGACTCAGTCTTACTCCATTTGGTACTCAAATGGAATTGGAAACCTGGGATCTCTTACCCGCCCCTCCATCAGTAAAGCCAGATACATGGAGTGTGTAGCCATCCTCTTCTGCACTGATTGCATTTGGGGAAAGGGAGAAGTCAGCATATTTGGCAAATGCGGTATTATTTTCAAAGTCCTCCAGCTCCACACGTAGCTCATATTTTTGTTTCAGGGTGAGAAGGTAGATATTTTGCAGTCCTAGACCAGGTGGGAATTAGAAAATCATTTGTGAGCACATAGTTCTGATGCCTTGGGAAGAAATCCAAAGCACCTCATTTATTTTCCTACCCTTTGGGGATGACCCCCAAAACTGCTGGCCAGGCAGAAAAGCAAGAGAATTCTTGGCTGAGCTTGCTGGCCTAGATTCATAATAAACAGAGCAATTGCATTTCGTGATGTAGTTTTCTGGCCCAGGTTTCATCTGCTTAGGGGAGAAACCCAAACATTTTACATTCCAAAAGTTTCTGGCAAAAGGAGATGTCTGGATCAAGAGATGTATAAAATTATGAGACTGGGTAGAAGCCAGTGAGGGAAACGGTGGGAAAAATCAAGGGCTTTTGGTAGGGCCTCTTCAGAGAGGAGAAGAAAAAGGAAAAAGAAAAGAAGGAATAGGAGAAGAAGAAGTGTTCTTGTATCCATTCATACTTACCCAGCCAATATTCACCATCTGCTTTGCCAAAGCCAAACTTATAGTCATTCCACCCCCGAAAGAAACTGATTGATCCATTGAAGCGTTTCTGGAAAACCTGCAAAGTATAAGAGTTTTGAGAAAAGACAATTGTTAAATTAACATCAATTTGTTAACAGTTACTCTGAAGCTTCATTCCTGTCAATACCATGGAAAGGAAATAATCAAGGTGATTATACATTATGCTAAAACATGGTTAATTGGATAATCCAAAATGATTCATACACTATGCTAATCCTTACTCTTAACAGCCTTGGTTTAAGCACACACACAAAATTCATCACCCTCCTATTTCAAATGCATATTTGCTTGTTTGACTTCTGGTCTTTATACTCTGGTCTTTTCTGTGCTGGACACTATATCTCTTCTACACTAGTTAACAAGACAAGGCAAAGCACTAAATTGGTTATATCTATAGAAGGATGGTGGTCTTTTGTTATTTTTGTGGCCTGCATCCATAAACAGGAAGACCCCGTACAAAATGTTCTGATGTTCAGATTAGGGAGTGAAAAGACACACATGAGAAACAGATACCTTGGCCCCATGAAAAAGAGTAGGACCAGAATTTTAAATATCCAAAATCATAGCCCCATTTGACATTAGAAGTCAATGAGTTATTTTTTGCTAATTCTTCTGTTCTAGTCCAAATTATCTGAGAGGGGTCTGTAGTGATAAAATGACACATCCTTCCATATTTGTTGTCTTGAACTCCCAGGGGAAAACTGCTTGCAATATAAATACTACAAATTTCTTAAAGCTTTATATAGAGTAATATCATACCATAAACGATACTGAAACTACAACTGGAGAAAAGGCCAAGATCAAAGAAATCAAGGTTATGAGAACTTCTACCAAACTAGCACTGAACAGCCACTACAGTCCTTGGATCTCTTGTGCTTCCATAGGATACACTTTCCCATTTTGTTTCCATCCCAGGGACTTCATTACCGTCCACTTTCCATCATCAGTGGTCATGTCACAGTACACAGGGACAGGGACACTTGGTCCTGCTGGAAAGATGAGATAGACGCCATCTGTCTCTGAACCTTGATCGTATATGTCCTCACAGTCAAGTGGAAAGGAATCTTCTCCACAGGGTTGAGATTGTTGAGCTGTCCCATTGGGAGAAAAAACACATTACTTTAAATGTAAATAACCCATCAAGCATATGACATTACTTTGGCTTCAAATTGACCATTTTGCTTTAAAGCAGAGAGTTAGTAGTCCAAGACAATAATTATAAATCTATTGCTGTTATTATTTTACAAATATCATAATTCTTTTGTTCAAGATCACCTTTTATTTGGGCAAATGTGACATTTCTGAGAATAGCTTAAACAGTTAAGAAATACATAAAAATACTACATTTTGTTAATCAAAATTTTGATTTTTTTTCTTCAAACTCTGAATTAAAATTTATATATATTTCAGTACATATTTGTCCAAATTTAGACACATTTTTGACTTTCACCCAATGTAAATAGTTTTTATAAATAATTTTTGTTACTATTTTTTTGCATTTTTATTCACTTTATTATCACATACAGTACATGTATATTCATTTTGGAGATTTGAGGGCAACTGTAAAATTTTGGAAATGCTAACTTTTAATGTGCAATGCAGGTTTGCTATCCCAAAAATATAAAATTAGATTGTTCGGTCATTCAGAAATTCTCTGAATGAATTTGTATGTGATCTTCTTGAGATTTATTCAGAGAAAGTTATTGATTACTTTTAGATAGCTAGAACCTATAAAGTTTCTGAATTGTATGCATCCAGATTTTCCAGATCTTTCCAAACAAAGATTATAAAATATGCCCCAAGCCTACCTAAATACACATCCCAAAGCATTAGTCCAAATTTCTCATGCTAATCATACAGTGATTAGGTCACTGAAGACACTGATTGGTGTCTTCAATGTCACCTCATTTTTCCAGGCACCTGCACAAGGGAAAACGTTTTTTCTTTCTGGATAAATTTCAGATGTATATCTATTTCTCTTTATTCCTCATTGAAATAGGTGTTTATGGATTGTGGGGATTGTGCATATGCGCATGTAACTAACACCAAGCATGAAAAGCCCTCAACATTCATGTAAGCAAGCACCTTCTAGCCAAGAGTCCTATTAAGGAATTGTTATAGTTATTATCTCTGTTAAAAGCCACTCTTGATACTGTGCAGAGATAGCAAGCAATGATCTTTATATTAACTAACTGCCATCAACTAAGACTTTTCTAGAAATTCTTCTATACATGGGATACTATTTGTTCAGCCTTTTACTACAGTTTAAACAAAATGTATGGAGGGGGGAAATATCAGCTAACAGATGGAAAATAATTAAAGAGATATCCAATCTAAAACTAAGGAGAAATTTCTGACAGTGAAACAAATAATTGATGGAATAGCTTACCTCTGGAAGTTGTGTGTGCTCCATCAATTGAAGGTTTTCAGAAGACACTGGACAGCCATTTGTCCAGAATGAAACAAGATCTCCTGCTTAGGCAGGGGGTTGGATTAGAAGACTTCCAAGATCATTTTCAACCCCATTATTCTATGTTCTGTTAAATATTCTGCCTATTATAGCAGGATCATCTGACATTACTTGAGCCACACAAACATATAGTAATTTTATTTTCTTAACAGATAACATTACTAATAAATGGTTCTAAGGAGAGAAGAAAATAACCTAAAAGAGCAGGCTGATCAGTCTATAATATTTTGTTACAAAGGAAGGAGTGCGATAAAAGGCCAAAACACTATATGTTGTTGACTTCATTCAATTCTATTATTCTTCAATATATATCTATATATTTATATATCTATATATCTATCTATATCTATATCTATATATCTATCTATATCTATATCTATATCTATCTATCTATCTATCTATCTGCAGATCTTGGTGTATTTGGGTCTTTCCCCGTGTAAGATTGAGAGTATCTTGGCAACGTTTCGATGAGGTCCCACTCGCCATCTTCAGAGTGGTGCTTTCAGCTTCGTGCTTGTGCGAGCAAAGCGTGATCAGAGCTGCTGTGTCTCTATATATACTGGTGGGGAGGTTGGCTGTGTTGTCATTTCTTGGTTGGCTGATGAAGTTGATGTTTGCAGATTGGCTGGCTTTTTCGTAAGAACATGTGTGGCTGAGGTATTGGCTGTGTGTCTATCAACGTCCTGTGTTGTAAACTGTGAGTCAGGCTAGCACCAAATTTAAAACAGAAATGGCTGTGAAAGCCTGACTCACAGACAAATGCAATACAGAAGCCTGATGATGACAGATGAGATTCTGCTGAAATGTTGCTACAACTTTAAAAGCACAAATATAATGACCAGGGAAAATACCCGAACAAAGCTGAATACCATACATATAGATACCCATGAAAACTTAAGAAAACAAACATATATATATATACCCGAACAAAGCCAGGTATTTTCCCACGTCATTGTAGTTATGCTTTTAAAGTTGTAGCAATGTTTCGGCAGAATCTCATCTGCCATCATCG